TTCTTCCTCTCACTCTCACTCGTTTTATCGAGTAATTTAAGGAACTTTTTATATTTTTTCAGAGCCCAATCGACAACATCTACTTCCTTTCTTGTAATCGTATCGTCTGCACTGTAAACTCTCTTGGAAACCAAGTTGAGAAGTATAACCCCAAATGTAAACACATCTTGCTTATCCGAAGATGAACCTGTAAGCAAATACGATGACGATTAACATCTATTACGAATTTAATCAATACGTAATATAACAAAGTGAAAAGTCGAAATACTACTTTGATAGAACGAATCAACATCAATGTAGCCTATATATATCGTCCTATCGGGGAATATTCCACCAGTTATCAAACCAAAATCGCATAATTTAGGATTATAGTCCTGCAAAATAATAGTAATAATAATAAATAAATAAAAATTATTATATGATATTGAATTCAAGTACGAACACTTATAACAACACACACCTCGTCAACAACTATATGAGCGCAGTCAAGGTTGCGGACTATATAAAGTTTGTAAAACGAACACTTTGGAGCGTGCATAAATTTGAGGAGTGATGCAAATCCGAGTGCAACTTTCATTCTTTGCAGCCAAGTGAAACCATCTACAGATAAATTAAAAAAATTATTCTCAATTCTCAATTATCAATTATATTATTGTAAGAAATAAGATTTATCATATTAATTAATTAATAAATGTCAATACCTTTAGGAATGAGGTTAAAAACCGAGTCGAACGGGTTGAATTCATAAACAGCACCCAAATTATGATTTTCGTTGCAATATCCATACAACTTTACCATGCCTGGATGCATTTCGTGGCGAAGTAACATGATTTCATCCTGTATATACAAATTAAAGAAAGTAGTAATTAATTTCAAGAATAACTAATAATAATAATAATAATAATAATAATAATAATAATAATAATAATAATAATAATAATAATAATAATAATAATAATAATAATAATAATAATAATAATAATAATAATAATAATAATAATAATAATAATAATAATAATAATAATAATAATAATAATAATAATAATAATAATAATAATAATAATAATAATAATAATAATAATAATAATAATAATAATAATAATAATACTAATAATACGTTGAATTTGTGGTCGGCACGAAAAACATGAATATACCATTAGTCGGCGTTCGTTATCTCCACGTTCGAAGTTATATTTTTCCAGGATTTCCCACATCTTTACCATCACAGTTAGTGTACGATCATCGCGCACAATCTTTCCACGATAAAGTTTGCCGAATTGGAAATGGCTGAGGTAGTTGCTTTCGGAAAAGTTACCGGTATAAACAGCCAAGTCCTCGTACTTTAGTTTGAATGTTTTTTGATCCCTGTCACTAGCAAATGTTCAATGAAAAAACAAAAGAATTAATTCTAACAGGAACATGAGAGTAATATGTTTATATATATATATATATATATATATATATATATATATATATATATATATATATATATGTGTGTGGTTGAAGTAACTAAACTAAACTTGTGCAAACAGAACATTTAACAAAAGAATCTGTAAATTTTACACAAATTCCAAAAGGGTAGTAGGAGGGGTGGAAATCGGACGGAAAGGATCGGAAATGATTTTTTCGGAAAATTTCCAATTTTTTTCTGAAGTAAAAACATGCTTCCAATTTGTTCCAAAAAAAATCGGAATGCAAAAATTCATTCCGATTTCGGAATGCGGCGGAATTTCGGAAATTTCAGAAATTACGTAGTTTATAATATTTTGTTCCAAATTAAGATATAATGGAAATTTTCACAATATTTTGTTCCATTTGTTTAAAAAAATTGCATGAAAATGCAAGAAAATTCAAAAGAGAGTTCGACAAACACAATAAATAAAAGGGATTATTTTGTAAACCCCCCCTCATTTCCAAATTATATAGCTAACTACCAAGTGGATTACACTCTAGGTGAAACCCCCCTCATTTCGAAAATATTTTGACATACCCCCCTGGGCTACCCTGAAGTTCCTATAATACCCTTCTAAAATCAGTTTTAACCCTAGCCACTCACGGTCTCTCTCTTCTTCTCCCAGATTCAAAATCCCGCCTCTACAAACCTCTCACCGGCGAAATTGCTTCCCGGGGCCATAACTCTCTCTCCGGTGGTCGGAATTCGATGGTTTAACTACCGTTGGATTCCTCTCGTCAAGCTCTTTCTTTTGGTGGTGATTTCATTCAGTTTCGAGCGCGGATCTGTTTCTGCAATTTTTTTTCATTCGAGGACGGTGGTCTTGCCGGAGCTTTATTTTGTGTTCCACCCGTCGAAATTTGACGGGTCATCCACCGTTGGATTCCTCTCGTCGGGATCTATATTTTGATGGTAATTTCGTTTATTTTTATCTTTTCAGATTTATTTCTATATTTTTTTGCATTTCCCAGCAATAACCTCTCTCTCTATCTCTCGATCTCTTAATGTTTGGTGATTTTTGAGTGTTTTGATGTTTTTATTCAAATTTGTTGATTTGCACTAAAGTAATTTCTTTTTGTTTTGAGTTTGCAATTGCAGCTTAATGAAGGCCATTGATCCTTTCCTTGAAGGTGTCAAATTTTTATTCTTTTAAGTTACATCAGATCTGTTCAACAGACTGTATACATTACTATAGTAACATGTAGTTACATATGCGTATATTTATGTATTTTCGATTTGTATTTTATTGGTTCTGATGTGATTTGTAATAAAAATATTTAAATTTGTAAATTTTTGTTGGGGCTTTATGAATTTATTTTGTATAAGTCAGTATTCGTGTGTGTATACAATTGATCGACTAAAAATATGGGGAAAAACGAACATAACTATGAATTACTATAGGTACTATAGTTACATGTAGTTATTTTCAGTACTGTAAACATATTGTTTTGAAAATTAAAAAAAAAAAAAAAAAAAAAAAAAAAAAATAATAAAAAAATTAAAAATATAAATATATATATATATATATATATATATATATATATATATATATATATATATATATATATATATATATATATATATATATATATATTTAACAAACAGATTTATATAAAAAAAAAAACAAAAAAAAAAATAGTAATAAATAAATCAGCGAAAATGATAAATGCAGGACCATAAATGCTGAATGCAGTTTGGCCGAAAATTGCACATAAGGGTAGTATAGTACTTTCGCTTCCCCAGGGGGGTATGCCAAAGGATAATTTGGGCTTGGATTTATCCCTAGTTTATTTGGTGGCTAGGGGGTATGTAAAATAACCCCTAAATAAAAACACATGTTGGAACAACAAATTGACATATATTTTCTTATAAGGAAAAAAATGCAACATAAAGTTTCTGACACCGATTAATCTTTTCTGAGGTTTTAATTTACTTGAGCCTTCGATATTTATATTTTCTTCATATAAAATATAACATAAGTTATAATATTGAATATATTTCGAAAAACCAATATTCAGAACTAAAATCGGATTGGAAATGGGAATTTTCAGTAATTTTAAATACCATTCCAATTATGTTCCAAATAAATTCAGAAGAATCAGAAATCATAATGAAAAATATGGTTCCAAATTCGGATATTTTCGGATGGGAATTGGCCGAATTCGGAAATTCCATTCCGATTTCCACCCAGGTAGTAGTGTTTTTTTTCTTTTCCTTTTTTCTTTTTTTAACATAATATATAATACGAAGAAGAAGAATGACAAAATTAAAAAACCAAATAAACAAATAAACAAATCGTTTAGCTCAAAAATTTAGTCCTGATGCAAATTTGGAGTATTACAACTTGGTAAATAAAGCACATTGGAAGAGAGAGAGAGAGAGAGATTGTACCTTGAACAACGGATTTTCACGACGCCAACCACAATTTATTTTTTATTTATTTATTTATTTTTTTTTATTTTTTTTATAAATTAAAAAAATTAAAGTGATATTAAGCCAAAGTACAAAGGGGCAAATCGATAAAATTGAGAGTAGAAGGGGGTAAAGTGATATCGAGCCAAAGTATAAAGGAGAAAAGTAGAATTTACCATAAAATAAATAATTAGTACAGAAACATAAAAATCTTAATTAATAAGAAAAGTAATCCCTATATATACCTCCCTAATCTCACGTATCGTCTCTCTCTCCCCTTAACCTCTCGTCTCTCTCCCTCTCTCTCGTTGTTCTCTCTTTCTTTCGATTTCTTTTTTCTCTTGCAGATCAACTTCTTTCTTTCTCTCACTTTGTCCGGTGAGTTTGCAACATCTCCCCCGGTTGTTGTGCTGTTTAAAGCGGGGGGCGGATCTCGGTAAGGTTAATTAACAAACTACATTTATCTATATTCTTCTATATCTCTCTCAATTATTAGTAGCTCAATTATTTAGGGTTATTGTTTTACTTGAAAGATCAAAACTTTGTGTTCTAATTTTGCCCTAGAGAGATTTGTTTGAACGTGTTTGAGTTTATGAACACACAAATTTTATTTATTTGTTTATTTTAAAAATAGTTTTTTTTTTTACATTCTGCTTTTAAGCTAGCTTTGGAATGAATTGAACATACATAATTTATATACTGCAGCAATATATTTTCACTTGCGAGATGAAAAAAATGAATCCATTGGATGTTGTGAGACTTGTATACAAGAGTTTGGTTTATTACACTGATAACTTTTCCGAGAGCAACTTCTTCGGCCATTTCAAATTCGGCAAACTTTATCGCGGAATAAAAGACAACTGTGGATATACAAAATATTTCATGGTGAAGATTTGGGACACTGACTTTACAAAAATATATATCTGCGAAGATGATTTCTACTTCCGGCTAATGGTATGTTGTTGTTTTGTCGAGCATATCTCACATTTTGTATATGTACAGTAGAACCTCGATAAAATAATAGTTTCTCCCGGTCCCGACTCGGTGAAAACACGTTAAATTATAATTTGATAATTTTATAGAGGTTTATATATATATATATATATATATATATATATATATATATATATATATATATGCGTAATTAGTTGAGTCGGAGTTGTGCAGGAGGAAGTAGCGTTACTTCGCCATGAAATGGTGATTAGTCATCCGGGGATGGCTAAGCTGTATGGGTACTACTACAAAGGTAGCCGTTTTGCTGTTGTTTATGAATTCAAGCCATTCGACTCCCTTTTCAATCTCCTTCCTAAAGGTATTCGATTTTTTTTTTTTTTTGGCGTTTCGAGATTTTTGTCTTTATCTAATTGTACCATTAATTTGTGTTTGTTTGTTTCTTAGAGAGTTTCACTTGGTTGCAAAGAATGAAAACCGCCCTCGGCTTGGCCTCCCTTATAAGGTATCTCCATCTCGAAAAGTCTGCATTTTACCAACCTTTTCTCGTTCACAGTCTTGATGCTGCAAACGTAGTTCTTGATGAGGTGCGTGTGTTTTTTTTTATATATATATATATACACACACACACATATGTGCTTTTAATTTTGATTAATTGATTATTATACTAGTATGAAGAAATTAATAACTGAGGACTTATGCATGCAGGAGTATAATCCAAAGCTGTGTGATTTTGGTTCGATTAGCGGTGGAATATTCCCGGATAAGAGAGCATATTCATGTCATCATGTTTGCTATGGCTGCCTCGATATATCTTTATTTAATACAGGTATTCCGACTTACATATTCGCAAGCGAACCCTATAATTACCATTCATAGGGTCTTGTTTCTTTGTTATTTACAAGGTATATATATGTGGATTGATTTCTTACAGGTGATCGGTCGAACAAACAAGACGTATTTGCATTTGGGGTTGTGCTTCTCTTTTTGATATCAAAGAGAGTTTATACGGACGAAGACAGTGAATCTTGTGCACCGTTTGTTTTCGAATGGGCATTTAGGGAATATGAAGAAGCCCTCCAATCGAAAACCGAGTTTTCACTTGTCCACAAAAGTCTAGCAGATGAAGATGATTTTTGTACAGATGATGGGCATAAGATTACTATGCTAGCGCTCGAGTGCGTAAATGGAGACGAAACTCAACGGCCTACGATGAAGCAAGTCGTGAAATCTCTCCTCAAACTTGAACTCGTTAAGCAAAATGCCGACTTCCTTGGTGTGAACAAGGTGCTAAACCCCTGTGGAGGAAATGGTATCTGATACTTTTGGTGCTTCTTGTCATGTTATTTATTAGTAGGGGAGTTTGTGTACAAAGTTATGAGCTTAATTTGGGTGATTATTATTTTAGTTTGAAGGGTTGATTTATTCTATTTATTCGCTTAGATGTCAATATATTTAATTTTAGTTATGCAAGCAAAAAATTTAATATACTTGTATGTTGTTTGTAGTAGCAACTTGTGAAATTTAGGGGTTTTTATGTATACCTACCAGACCAACTATTTTTATTAATCTAGATTCAGGTGTTTTATTTATTTCGCTAATAACCTTATTCCTTTAACATATATTATAGATAAATACAAACTAATGTGTATGACAATATTATCTCTCAATCCTTTAAACTAGGGCTGGGATTTGGTTGGTTTTTATCTACCAACCGACCCATTACCGACCATATTTTTAGACGGATAATTAATTTTTAACCGACCCATTGGATCGGGTTGAAAATTTCGACCAACCCATCTATAATGGGTCGGTTGGTGGTTTCTAATATTATCAAAAGTTGGTTGACCGATAATTATCGGTTATCCAACTATACTATTAAAATTTTATTAAAAATATAAAATAAATGTCGTGTTTTCTTTAAGTGGTGTGAACAAGGTGCTAAACCCATGTGAAAATGGCATATGATGTATTGCAAAATGCTTTTGGTGCTATGTGTTATGTTTAATAGTAGGGGTGTTTGGCTACAAAGTTACATCCGATGTTATTTTGAGCTAGACTATGGTAAACTGTTATCCTTATTTCGGTATCATTGTTATAATTTAATCCTTGATTTCATCTATTTTGTTACAACTTTATATTCTTTTAGCTTCAAAAGAATTACTCCCCGAATCCAAATTTCCAAATTGACAGCATCACACATAGGGGTGTGAACGAGCCGAGTTCGCCTCTTTTGGCTGGCTCGAGCTCGAGCTCGAGTCTATTTTGTCGAGCTCGAGCTCGAGCTCGTCGAGTTCGAGCTCGAGCTCGAGCTCGTCGAGTTCTTCTTTTTTTGGCTCGAGCTCGAGCTCGTGTTAATTTTGTCGAGCTCGAGCTCGAGCCCAATCTTTTTTTTTTTTTTTTTAATATTTTTTAATTATTATTTTATTATTAAAAATTATTTTAAAAAAATACAAAATAAAAACTAAATTGTGATTATATATTTTTTTAATATTTGTATTTATTTCTATAATATTTATATTAGTATACATTATTTAAATAAAAATAACATATAAAAAATAAAAAAAATAAAAAAAATAAAAAAATAATAATAAATCCGGCTCACGAGCCGGCTCGCGAGCTGATGAACAACTAAAATTCGGCTCGAGCTCGGCTCGTCAAAAAGCTCGAGCTCGCGAGCTCGAGCTCGAAAACCTCGAGTCCGAGTTCGAGCTTTTTACGAGCCGACTCGTCGAGCTCACGAGCCTCGTTTACCACCCCTAATCACACATATGGAGCCTCCACAAATTAAACACACCAAGTCATTAATTGCTAATACTCGTGAGAAAGTCAATAAAAAATCCAAAAAAGAAAAAAGAAAAATGCAAAACAAGGGCAAATTACGGCCAAACCCTGAGTTATGGTCGAATTATGAAAACCCCTCATGTTTGAGTAATTACAATAACCCCTCAACTATGTATTATCTTACGAAAATACCCCTCCAGAGGTAAATTTAGGGATGTTAAATCGGTAACACCTAACCGAGAATACCCCTCTAGATGTAAATTTAGGGATGTTAAATCAGTAACACCGAACCGAAATTTCGGTACGCCAACATTTCATAATGTTTACCTAGACACGACCATGGGCCGGTTTTGGGCCCGGAACCGGCCCGTTGACGACCCGGCCCAACCCGTTGACCGGTGAACCGGCCCGGGACCCGTGAACCGGCCCGTCGTCCCCGGGACGGGCCCGGTTCTATGAAATGGTGAACCGTGAACCGCTGGGCCGGCCCGGCGGTTCACCCGGATTTAAAAAAAAAATTCAAAAAAAAAAAGCAAATAACGGCTAGTGAACCGGCCCGAACCGGCCGTTATTTGCTTTTTTTTGAATTTTTTCCCCCCCAATTTTTCCTATAAATACCCTCACACCCCAATTTTCCTATAATTTACTTATCCATCAAATATTTCAAAAAAAAAAGTAAAAAAAAATAAAATAAAAATTTCAAATTTTCCAGGCCGACCCGGAACCGGCCCGGATAGGCCCGGAACCGGCCCGAACCGGCGGGCCGACCCGGCCCATCGAACCGTGCATATTACGGGCCGATTCCGGTTCCGGAAAAAGTGAATCATGAACCGGTATGAACCGGCCCGGAACCGGCCCGTGGCCGTGTCTAATGTTTACCGAACTGAATATACGATTTGGTTTGATAAATAACCAAATTACATAAATTTTAGGTAAAAATATTTAAAAGGAGGGGATGACTGCAATTACCTAAACAAAAGGGGTTTTTTCGTAATTTGACCATACCTCAAGGAGGTGACCGTAATTTGCCTTGCAAAACAATAAGAGTGCAACAAATCTCCAAATTGCCATCATCACACATATGGAGCCTCCACAAATTAAATACACTAAGTCTTCAATTGCTAATACTCGAGAGAAAATCACCACATTGCTTGCTTCATCTTGCTCTTGCTCATCGGCTTCGTCTCTCTCATTCGCTCGAGTATTGAAATAATCTCATCGATTGTTGGACGGTTTTCGGAACGGTTACTTGTGCAAGTTTTACCCAGATTGCTAATCTCATGCTCATCACCCTCGTCGCATCCTGTTCGCAATAATGATTTGTTAACAACACATTCTTTTCGGAACGGTCACATTCTCATCGATTGTTGGACGGTTTTCGGAACGGTTACTTGTGCAAGTTTTACCCAGATTGTTAATCTCATGCTCATCACCCTCGTCGCATCCTGTTCGCAATAATGATTTGTTAACAACACATTCTTTTTTTTCCAAAAGAGATGTCACTTCAAGTGAGATGTGAGAAGTAATTGACGAATTTGTAGTGTTTTTTTCTTTCTTCTTGTGTTTGCCAGTACTTCCCTTCTGAAGTTGATCTTCGAATAACTTCTCTAATTGTATTACATTCGGTAATCATCTGGAGTAGGATGGTTCCAAACTAAAAATATCTGTTTTTCAGGTGATGGGGTTCCTGTCCAAAAACATGCACAACAAAGTCAACATGTTTAAGTGCAATTTATTATTTCAAGTTCTAATTTTATTTCTACTTGTTAAGATTTTGTTGAGAATAATTAGCTAGATAATTCCTTGCATGTGAAGATCTAGAAGAGAAATTGAGTAATTTTGAAATAATCGCGGTTTTATGACAATAGTACAAATTATTTGAGTTTAATTTTTTATAGTACAAAATATTAGATGGCTTATTATCGAAATTTTTTGTTACATTTTGAAAAAATCGGAATAATCATTTTTGTCATGCATTGGTTTATGATCATTCAGGTAAGAAAAAAGGATGGAGTTGTCTCCGGAGAAAAGTAAAAGTATGTGAGAATCACGAGCTCACGAGCCGGCTAACGAGCCTTATTTATTATTTTTTTTGAATATTATTTTTTATTTAAATAATGTATAATAATTTAAAATATTATAGAAATAAATAAAAATAAAAATAAAAATATTAAAAAATAAATATAATTACAATTTATTGTTTATTTTTTATTTTTTTAAAAAATAATTTTTAATAATAATAAAATAAGAAAAAAAACAAAAAAAAAATGAGCTTGGGCTCGAGCTCGAGCTCGAGCGTGCCAAAAGAGGCGAGCTCGGCTCATTCACACCCCTAGTTTTAAAAAACAACTTGGAGCACCTAATTACACTTAGTTGGAGTCATATACAAATTTGGAGTGACCTAAGTTGTTTCCTAACAACTTATGAACTCCTAAAGCATTTTATCAAATGTAAGAGCATATAAAATGTTCTAAGTAAGTTCATCCTAACGTAGACACGGCCACGGGCCGGTTCCGGGCCGGTTCATACCGGTTCATGGTTCACTTTTTTCGGAACCGGAACCGGCCCGTAATATGCACGGTTCGACGGCCTGGGTCGGCCCGCCGGTTTGGGCCGGTTCCGGGCCTATCCGGGGGGGGGGGGGGGAATTCAAAAAAAAGCAAATAACGGCCGGTTCACCCGGGCCGGTTCACTAGCCGTTATTTGCTTTTTTTTTTTGAATTTTTTTGAATTTTTTTTTTTAAATCCGGGTGAACCACCGGGCCGACCCGACGGTTCACGGTTCACCATTTCATTGAACCGGGCCCATTCCGGGGACGACGGACCGGTTCACGGGTCCCGGGCCGGTTCACCGGTCAACGGGTTGGGCCGGGTCGTCAACGGGCCGATTCCGGGCCCAAAACCGGCCCATGGCCGTGTCTAGCCTAACGGGGTCTATGACTTTTTAAAACTTGTCTACTGCAAAGGACTAAATAAAAATTTATTTAGTATTTTCAAAGTTGTTTCCCCATTCCTGAAATTGTAACTATGTCAATTTACTTCTGTAATTATTTATGAAAATCAACTAAGCACTGGAGGGCAAATTTCTAAAAGGTAAAAAGACAATTTACAAGTCACAAGTTATTTACTAAATGACTAAATGAAATTTAGTTAGTATTTTTTTAATTTTCTTGTAATTTTCTTTTAAGTTTACAACTTTGAAAATACTAAATAAAATTTCTATTTAGTCTACCATGTGGTCTTTATCACTCTCAAATAAAAATTTCATACATGTATTTTCTTTCGTAAAAAAAAAAAAAAAAATTCTAATTTACATAGTTTTCGTGAATAATCACACGTTTATGTAATTGAACGTGTACCCCAACTAATACCATTAATAGCTACAAAATTGCATAAGTTAAGGGTAAATTACAACCACCCCGAGGTGTGGTCAAATTATAAAATCTCCCCTCCTGTTTGGGTAATTACAACCAACCCCCTTAACTATAAATCTTCTTATGCTTCCACCCTTACGGTTTCAAATTTAGTGGAATCTTCGAAATTATGTGGAATATTATCACTTTTGTATCCGTTTTATCCCATTTGAACTCCACATTTTGAAGCAACATGATCATAATGTGTTTTTTGGCTTGTATATATATCAGATTGTGGTGCATCAGAAACTGTATTTTTACACAAAATAAGTACAAACTAGAGTACATTCCACAAAATCTAGATGATTATCTTGAATTTGACACCATAAGGGTGGAGGTGTAAGAAAAAAATATAGTTGAAGGGTAGATGTAATTATCCAAATAAAAGAGGTTTTTCCGTAAATTAACCATACCTCAAGGGTAGTTGTAATTTACCCCATAAGTTAAAGCCCTATAACTACTGTATTTTTTATTTTACATGATTTCATTTTTTACTTTCGTAGATGCAAAAAAATAAGTCAAAATAAATAATATAAAACTTATCAAATAAAAAATAAACACCAAGGCATTATTTATTTTACAATAGATAGCTTCGTTCAATCATTCATTCATTCATCATTAATTTATATGAAACACCAAATGAACATCAATACATTAGATGCCATTTTCAGAGGAATTCAGCACCTTGTTTACACCAATGAGTTCAAGTTTGAGGAGAGATTTGACGACTTGCTTCATCATGGGCCGTTGATTTTCGTCTCCATTTACGCACTCGAGCGCTAGCATAGTAATCTTATGCCCATCATCTCTACAAAAATCATCTTCATCTGCTAGACTTTTGTGGACAAGTGAAAACTCGGTTTCTTTCACGTCACTTTTCGATTCTAGGGCTTCTTCGTATTCCGTAAAGGCCCATTCAAAAACAAACGGTGCACCAGCTTCACTGTCTTCGTCTTCGTCTGTGTAAACCCTCTTTGATATCAAACTGAGAAGTATAACCCCAAACGCAAATACGTCTTGTTTGATCGACCAGTCACCTGTGACGAAATCATCGTGAGACTAATAATTTTATAAATAAGACCGATCGAGAAGAAACAACCGGATGAAAATCTATCAAATTAGAATAACTTAATTCGAACTTCAACGATTACCTGTACTGCATAGTGCAATATCGATGCACCCATAGCAACTAAGGGAATTATGACCTGAATATGTTTTCTTATTCGGGAAAATTCCACCGCTCGTACAACCAAAGTCGCACAGCTTTGGATTATAGTCCTGCATGACAGCATAAGTGGTTGGTTACTAATTTCTTCATACAAGTATAATAATTGATTTGATATATATAAATATATATATATAAAACACACCTCATCGAGAACTACGTGTGCAGCATCAAGATTGTGAAGTACGAAAGGTTGGTAATAAGAAGACTTTCCGAGATGCAGATATCTGACAACGGAAGCCAATCCAAGGGCAGCTTTGATTCTTTGCAGCCAAGTGAAACCATCTAACAAACACATTTTTCGGTTTTTTTTTTTCCCCGTATTTTCTTTTTAAATGTTTGAAACTTGATATGGATTGACCCAATAAACGGAATATCAAAAATTGAAGTTTTCACAAAATTATTCGAGAATTCAAACTAACAATTAGGTTCTCTTATAGCTTTCGAGATTAATGAAAAATACAATACCTTTAGGAATGAGGTTAAAAAGCGAGTCAAACGGCTTGAACTCGTAAACAGCACCAATAAGGCCTCGATCGAAGCAGAATCCGTACAGCTTTAACATGCCTGGATGGTTAATAAACATTTCATGGCGAAGTAAAATCATTTCGTCCTGCACAAGCAAATATACAATACAATAAATGTCACATGTAGGCAAAGAAGTATTTACGAAAATGCCACTGCAAAACGAAATACCATTAGTCGAAGATCGTTATCTCCTGGATCGTAATCACAATTTTCCGGGACTTCCCATTTTTTCACCATAAAATATGCTGTTATTCCAGGGTACACTATCTTTGCATAATAAAGTTTGCCGAATTGGAAATTTCCGATGCAGTTGCTCTCGGAAAAATTGTCGGTTAAGAGGACCATCTTCTCGTACGACAGTTTCATAACTCTACCTGGCTCCTGTTCTAGCAAACATACCAGTAAAAAAGGTGGAGATAGTTAACACGTGCAACTTTGGTGGACTAAAATAACACTATAATACAGCATAGAAACGGCAGCATGTTATATTCGAGAGATATACGTCGGTCAAACAAGAAACGTACAAGAACAATATTGCTGATATATATAGCAAATAATTTTTTTTTGTCAGCCTCGATCCGCTCGGACGAGCGCCTCGTGCTATAAAAACATCTATTGCCTTTTTTGCGCCTTGCGCATTAATTCATGTTTTCATAGCACTCTGTTCAAATCTTCTATTTCCCATATCGACAAAAACCAATAAGCAAATAGTACAACGTCTAACGAATTCATTACATAAAAAATACACAAGCGAAAATCCCGGGAATTTTTTGTACACTTTCGTTTCGACTTAATGATTAAGAATATTAAATGCACGAAAAGTATTAAGTCGAAACAAAATTAAGTAACAAAAAAATTAGGCTTCTGCATAACACAAAATTTCCAAAGGAATTCATGTTGAAAGTTGTTCAAATATTTATTCATTAAAAAGGTTTAATTTTTCAGTAGGGCATATCTTACAGGAACACATATGTAATCATTAAAACACAACGAAATAAAATAAAAACTCAAAAATCGTGCAAACAAACAGAGCCTTAGTTTTCATAAGGCAACAAAATTCGTTAAAATCACACAAGGAAAAAGAAAAAATAATTATTATACCTATAGGAGCTTTTTTGGACGAACATGGCTTCAACTCTATCGCCCGGTTTTGAAGTTGAGTTTTTAAGCTAGAACTCATCGCTTATCAGTTTTCAACAAATAATTTCTAAATAAATTGTTGCAACAAACAGCTTTAATTTATGATTCTTACTCACAAACAAAGGGCGAGTTATATATATTGACTTTTGCACCCTTGAAATATTGACTTTTCGCATTTTGTGCCCCTTAAATCATTTAAGCAATTTTCAACCTTGGAATATAATAAAGTGCAAATTACAACAATCCCCTGAGATAAAATCAAATTATGAAGAAAAATAAAAATAATCTTGTTTGAGTAATTACAGTCACTCCTAAACTATGTATTGTCTTACGAAAAAATTCCTCTACTTGGTAAATTTAGTGGTGTCCATTCAGTTAAATCGTACCGAAATTGTCCGTACGCCAAAATTTCATATTGTTAAATCGTACCGAAATTGTCCGTACGCCAAAATTTCATATTGTTTATCGTTCGGTTCGATGTATAACCGAATTATCAAAATTTTATTAAAAATATTTGAAATTTTGATTTTTTTTTAATTTTTTTTAATTAATTTTAGTTTAAATATTAATATTTCATATATATATATATATATATATATATATATATATATATATATATATATATATATATATATATATATATATATATATATATATATATATATATATATATATATATATATATATATATATATATATATATATATATATATATATATATATAAAAAAAAAAAAAAAAAAAAAAAAAATATATATATATATATATATTTTTTTATATTTTTAAAAAAAATATATAATAAAAAAAATATAAATAATATTGAGAAATATATATATATATATATATATATATATATATATATATATAT